TTTTTTTTTTTTTTTTCAGGAATTCTTTTGTGTGCTATTAATTTTTCATTAGGCGATGTAGAATCGGAATTTAAAAAGGCGAAAATCGAACCCGATATTATAGACAAAGCACCAATTGAAAAAATCGAGGTATATATTTGCAAAAGTATTTTCACTAACATTTTTATTGTATAGCTAAAATATTAAGTTAATATATTTCCTATATTTTATATTTAAAGTGATATTTATTAGCAAGACCTTTTTCTAAACATCTTACAGTACAATACAATATCATAACTACCTGTAAGTGATTTTGTATTACATAGGTAAAATATGGTAAGAAGGTAGTCGATTTTGGAACCGAATTGACGCCGACTGAAGCTCATGAGATACCAGAAATCCATTATAAACATGAAGGAGGAGTTCTCTATACACTTGTCATGACGGGTGAGACTTGGAAAGTTTGAATAAATTAGTTATAAAAATATTTAGATACATTTTTACAAAGATAGATTCCAAAGCAAAATATCAAAAATAAATCAAGTGAGATCATTTTATTTTCTTGCTGCGAGAATTTCGTGAATCGCGAGACAGACAAATACGCATAAAGACGTGCTATTCTCAATGAGTTCAACTTTCACCGTCTCGGAAACCAGTTTTCTCTACCGCCACTACTTGATAGCGTGCGGATTCTCTGGCATGCTAATTGTTAAGTTAAGACTTATATAAAGTATGCAAATGTTTGAAAATTATTACAAAAATTATATTACGTGTGTTTAAAGATCATTAGAACTGTTAATATATTTTCCGACTTAGTATATTTCCAATCATTTCGCAATTATCTCTTCTTATAGTTATTTCTTCTTTTATAAAATTCTTACATATCACAACAGGTATATCTTATTATAGATTCTGATGCACCAAGGAGGGGAGGATACAACCGAGAATTCCGACACTGGCTCGTGGGAAATATACCGGAAGAAAACATAGCTAAAGGTGAAATCCTGGCAGAATATGTCGGTCCTGCGCCGCCGAAAAACACTGGAAAACATCGCTATGTATTTCTCATTTATAAACAAAATCAGGGCGCTATTACCTTTGATGAAAGAAGATTGAGCATTTGGTGAGCAAACACGTTATCGACATAGCATGTATCATATAGCTCGATAATGATTCATGATGAACACGTTTTACCTTACTTGCTTACAGGGATGGAAGTCAAAGAAAGAGGTTCTCCATAAAGAAATTTGCGGAAAAGTATAATTTGGAGGGCCCGATTGCTGGTAATTTTATGGTGGCAGAATACGATGACAATGTACCTGCTTATCATAAGCGTTTGAATCTTTAATTAAATGGTATTTAATTAGTCTTTAAATATTTTCGAATTCATAAATAAAAATATAAATTTCATATTATAATAATTTTAAATCTCGCTACTCATATATATGAAATTATATTACATAAAGAGTGTCGTAAATTTGTGGTATTATTATTTAATACAGGGAAATTATAAATAAAATTATAACGGCTAATTATTGATATTACTCTTAATGTAACTTGATATAACTCTTAAAAAATTTTTGACAAATTTTTTTATATATATTTCTACAAAAATATAATTAATGAATTACGCAGAAATAAATGAATTACTTACCAGCAGATAAAGAAATTTTTAAGAAATTCTATTTATCTTCATTGCTGTTATTTTATTGTTATAAATATAAAAGGTACATGAGACATTCATTACGTTCGTATCCCCGAGGTCGTTACATGACGTTAATGCGCCTTTGAGGCGTATCACTAGTAGTACATGTGAAATCCTTACTCTTATGAACTTATTTCCTACAATCGATTATTAAATACCTGCAGTTTTAGTGTTATGTTATACACGTTGACTAGAATAATGAGCGTAATTCGTAATTGAAATTACGAATCTGATAAACGCCGCTGGCGTAATATCTTAAAGAGCAGAAGCTAACAATAAGTCGGGAAGCAGAAAGTTATTTCCATTACGAAATTACAGAAGTACAGGGTGCAGCCTTTTTGTCTTTATATATCACTTATACGGCGACATGGAAATTAAATACATGTTGTCATTTCCACTGTCTCGTAGGCCTTTAGAATATCGATAATGTATGTTTCAATCTAATCGAACATATAACACAACACTTTTCTCTTATTCTCTCGCATAATCTTCAAGAATACGACATCATCTTTCAAGCGAGTGCGCGTCACGTTGACGCTTCAAAATAAATTGAAGAAACGCTTATTACGAATATTTTTATCACACTATATTTGTGGACAGCGCAATATTTAATATAAATAAATTTTCTCGTCAATACTATAATAACTTCAAATATCTTTTTTCGCGAAATATATCTTTTACTGATTCACTTATAGCTGCATAGCTTGTGATGTCTTCTTGTTTCGCATCAGTGCAATAGGCATAAATAATTTATCAGATCGGCAAACTAAATATAAACAAAAAAGAATTGCACTTTCTTTCAAAATAGCACCAATTTGAGCTCACTATCAAGATGTTTTCTCTTGTCTGCATATGCAGTGTTACGTTTTGTTTCGAAGAAACGTTTATAAATATTCCTACTCGCAAGAAATATTCTATTCGTGGCAGTGACAGCGGTTTTAGAATCGCCTTCGATCGTTTCTGGCAGCGACGGTAATACGTTCGCGCAATTCGAATCTGATTCGTACAACGACGGAGTTTTTCCTATAATCTTTGCATCATTCTTACTGGACATCCTTAATCATTCCATTAGAATGGTATCGTCGAATATATCTTTTTCATTATCATGATAGAATTGCCGCTATAGACCTGATTATTCAATAACTGGCAGTTCATATCACAATTTATGTATTCGAACCAATCATTATCAATATCAAAGTTTGTAGGTTTCTCAAGGCAAATCCAAATCTGGAGATATAGTCATGTTCCAGCAAAGCTGATGATCTCGAACATCTCCCCATCCACCATTACCTTTACGGAGTTTCGTCTTCTTCGCCGTTCCGGCAATTGTTAACGTTAATTGCGAAGGGAACAAATGATTGCGCGCTGCATTCAAGACGTTTTGGACTTTCGCTATCACTGCCGTCGATTCACAGTTATTCTTCTTATGATGTACTCCACTGTAAAAGCAAACATCCAATTAAAAGAATGATAATTTACTTTCCACTTAGTGAACACAAGTCAACACAAATATCATTCTATCTTTCTTAACATTTAATGAATAACAAAGATCGAACGACATGTATCGAATTATGCCATCAAATAGAAAACATTCCTTAATCATCATATTAACGCTCATGAATAATAAAAAGAAGATATGCGAAGGATATTGCAGAGTAAAAGCTCAATTCTCATTTATGGAAAATAAGCGAAGAGTTGATACTCGCCATTCTCCGATATGGAAGACTCTCGGAGCTCTCATTGTCATTGTGATCAATCCGGATTCAGCGCGAGGCGCTATTCCGGCGCCTCGACTGGACGGTACGCATGTTTGCGCGATATACTGCAGACTCCAGTCCCAGTTGTAATCGTCGTAGGAACAAAACTGTGCCGCGCATTTCCGTAGCTTGTTCCATGTGACACGATTGAATGCCATGCCCATATTGTGCTTGCTAGATATCCACGGAGTAACTTCCGCCTGTTCCAACAGAATAAAGACCAGAATAAAGACGTTATTAAGTACTGATGTAAAATTTTTGCAATATCTTTTTCACATAAAATCTACTGAGGGAAATCTAATTCGAACGTGACTACGACTAAAGCGAACAGTTGAGACAAAGTCAGAATTTTAGTCGTAAATATCTCCTACCGTATTCTATGAGACTCAAGAATCCAGAACTACTCTATTTATTCTTACCAAAGACACGACTTATGACTTCAGTCGTGCGTACGAAGTTACTTCATACGCTCACAGTAACAACCAGACCGATTGTATTATGACTTTGTATCGTACATGTAATGGTAATAGATGCTCGGAACATGCACTACTATCTGGAGGAAATGGAAATTCATCTACAGAGACGTTCCACCTACTGCATTTGGCATGATAAGAATATACTAATATTGAACATTAAATATGTTTACGGAGTTCGTATAAAATTCACTATATTTTCTTTTTACGGAGTAAAGAGTGCGTTTTCTTGATTTCTCTAATTCAACGTCAAGCAGCCGGAGCCACCAATCGATCGCCATGCAGTGCGTCCTTTGTTGGCTGGATCGATGCGAACCGGTGGAAGCGAGTCGTGCAAAGTTTGACAAAGTTTACCGAGGAGGATGGAAAACTACTTGCATTTTCCTAATACGGCGGAAGGCGAAGCAAAAGAAAGAAAAGGAAAACATGATGCGAGGTCACGATAGATGGTCTTTTTGCTATTCGGATTCGATGGATTCGGAGAACCTTCTGATAGTGGTTGTAGAGACTGGGCAGGAGTTGAAAGGCCCACCCGGGCGCCGCTTGCATCGTATTCGCGTTCTGATAGTAGATGGATGACACACCGCCGACGCCGATGCCTCTGACGCCGCCACCACTACCGGTACTCCCGTTACCGATGACGGCGGCGTTACCACCGGCGTTATTAACGCCGTCGCTACCACTGCCGGTGACGGTGACGAACCCGTTGCCGATTTGCTGCCTCTGCGCCATCGCCGCTTCTTGTCGTTTTAATCCACGCAGCAACTCCTTTTGCAGAGCGCTATCGACGCCGAGGAACTAACGGATCGGGCGTGCGTGAAACATCGACACAGACATACTAATGGTGAACATATGATAACGTCGGATACGCTTAACGTCGTAAACGTGCAACGATGCGCAATGACACGATATTTCCGCCTTCGAGAATTTCTGCGTGTCGAATCAGAGAGAATGAAAAATACGCTATGTGAGAGAAATAAAATTATCTTGTTTGTAAGCGAGGAATCGCATTTCATTGGGATATGATAACGCTCGCGCTAATTTTGCCAGATACTGTCACGCTACAAGCGCCAGCAACGATGTACTTCGTGCGCCAGTGAGAAAATCGCCGTTGTTGTATATGCCTAATTATGAATGAGGTAAATGAATGCGTGTGAGCCGCTAAAGAAATGTTATTATAGATTATCTATGCATTGTTGAGCGCCTGTAAATGATGCCTCTTATTAACGAATACCCGCCCGATATATTCGTACGTCCTTATTCTGTGCATGAAACATCGCGCAAAGCAAAATTACAAATTAACGAATATGCCAAAAGTACGGACAAGTTCTCACCTTACGACTAAAATCCGTAAAATAGTTGTACGTCTTTAAATATGTACCCAACGATAGAACGTTGCACCTCTCGCAACTGAGCTTACAAGTGCGCTCCATGAGTCTAAGCACGTGTAAGAAATCTTCGGCGACGTAGTGGTCCTCTTCGAGAAAGAGGACCATCCCGGTGTGATTTCTTGTCACTGACAATTGATCGAACACCCTATTCGCTTTCCACCACCAGTGATGCTTGGTCTGCGTAAACTTCGCCTCCCTGTAGTGACCATACAAGTCCGGGTGTTTGGCGTTGGTGCATTTTAAGTTTAAGGCCCTGCAAAAGAGAAAATAAAATTCGATTGAATTTGACAAATTCGGGGAAGATTGTTCAATAGATTACAAACAGCGAAGACAATTTACTGTTCTTTGCGAATGTTTCGTGGACAATCGTTGGGTCCTTCCCCGGGAAACGTATGAGGATGAGTCTGGATGCTGTGTGGATAGAAGATCTGCATAACCCTGCAAAAGTCGACGCTTTGCACGAGATAATTGATATCTGGATGCCAAACGTCGTGGCTAAATACGAGAAGAGCCTGCTCGATGTCCTTAGCTTGCGCCAGTGAGACGATAAGGTGCCGTAGATAAGTGAGCCGCGTATGCACTTGGATAACTATAATTGGAGCGTCGCTGGCCAATGGTCCAAACGCCTCCTCATTGTACACTCTTTGCTCCGCATTCGCCCGCTCGATTTTATGACGGATTTCCGCGATTTCCAGTTCTGTGAGCGCTCCCGAGCTAGAATTCACCAAATTTGTGGACGAGTTACGTCCCTCTTTTAAAAATCTGAAAATATAGAAGGCGAAATGTTGACGGAAGATGAGATAATTATCGAGGTAATTTTATTAACTCTATTTTATCGGCAAAATTTTCCCCTAAAAGTTTGTTTTATTTATTCTTGATAATTAAAAACTTTCCTCTAAAAAGAATAATTTATGAAAAATATTTCGAGGAAAACAGATTTGCTTCATTTAATTCTTAAAGGAGATGATATTAAATCTTCAAAATTAACAGATAAAAAATTATATATCTCATACTTTACATTCAATTTGTTTTCAATTAAACTCGCGCATGTGTCCAAGATATGTTAATAACAATATTAATAAATATAATAATGGCATTATAGTAATATTAAAAATAATTTTGCGAAACTTGAGATTACCTGTGCAACTCTTGAGGCACGAGAGAGAAAAGCGTTTCGTTTGACGATTGCCCGGAATCATCTCGACCAGTCAAACTGACTACGTGAAGCTGAAGCCAGAGAAACGTAGCCAAAACGATGAACACAAGGGTCCTCAAAATTCCGCGAGCCGATCGCGATCCTCCAGCGATCGCTGATCCTATGAACATATCTTTTAATATTTGTTCATATCTTCTATTCTAAGAGATAGTCTTCGTTAAGGATGGCTGTACAATATCAAAATTTCGTAGATTGCTAAACAAGTATCAGTTAAAAAAGACCAATATCAGTCATGATGTAAGATGTTACTTATATCATAATATCAACCAAAAAAAAGTTTAATTATAAATGTACCCTGAAACTAACTGCAAAAAACAAAACAACAAATAATTTGGCTTATGTAGCATAAAGACCATATTTTATTGTTTTATAGGTTTTTAACAATTTTTTAACAAATAAGTAGATCCAAATAAATTTTTTTCGATATTTATTATAATTTTCATTACGATTTCTCCATAAAATCAACTGAATTTTATCGATTCCAATTGAAATAAAAAAAAATTACTTTCATATAACGAAAAAACGTAGATGCCATATCTTCGGATCTAATACTTTATGTATGAATGATGGCATATCGTTATAAACCTACCTCCCGACTTTTTTCTGGTATATAGTGTACAGCCGGGGTACTGCTTCGCAAAACCTTGTATAGACGAATCGTGAGCTTTTCCTGCACATATAGATAAGTTACCGATAATGTTAAACAAAAGTAGTATACGATAGTGAACTAATTTTCCTCTCGCATATTTATCTAGTGTTCCATTTTGTTTTTCATTTCAAATTACGATATTTGTAAAAAAAAAAAAACGAAACATAAAAAGATATTGTAAAGATACTTATATAACTGCATAGAATAATATAAAATTCTCGCAGTAATATTTTAAGTTTTTTAATAAATAATATATTTGATATGCTTTAAACATCACCCAATATATTTATGATATAAACTACATTCACTGCGATTACTGCCGCATTTTCAATTCATAAGATAATTAAAGAATCGATATAGAAATATCAAGTGTCACACAATGTCAAGTATTATAAGGGTGGCCCAAAATTCGCAAATCAAAATTACATTAATTCTCGAGAAAATAATTATGAAAGTATTTTGTGTTTTTTATTCTGTATTGAATATAAATAATATTTTTTTTTATGGAGTTTTATTTTTCTATATCTTTCTTAAATATGGCATTAATTTACTAGAGATTTTTAAAAAAATATAAAATTTTAAAACTTTAAATTTTACAATAAATATCCATTTTCCAAAATAATCTATGTCCCCCTATTTAAAGAATCAATTTTAATAAAAAGAAACGCTTTAAATAGTGCTTTAAATATATAATCATAATGTGGTATAATTACGTAAAAGTGATATCAATGCAATCGATGTTGCAAACGGTCCATTTAATAAATATTCAAGTTGTGAGACGTATCAGGACAATGAGGTCGACATGTAATGCTATATATGCGTATGCAACTTATATTTATGTATTCATCGAATATTTGGCTGGCAAATGGTCACGTTGCTTGGAGTTCGGTTATATTCACGTACTATACAAAATTAAAACAGTATTACGAGTAACATATACATGAATCGCGCGAACGGAATTACAAATCGTGCTACCATTTCTCAAATATTCGACAAACGCAAACATGTCGCGTATATAACGAATTATATAACGAATTTTATGTAACTCGACTGTGTATTATCATACGTAACATTGTCATCCCATTGTATACAACATTCCATTTTACATGATGAGATGTGTATATAGGTTTGAACACTCATCAAGTGGTCATATCTCTTTGTGCCGTCTTTACACAGAGTGATATAAAGGTATCGCAAATTTTCTAGGAGAATGTTAGAAATAAAATACCCTCCTTGGTGCTCCAAAATCGAAATCTTTTATATACATATAACAAAAGAGCTACCGCTATTGAATTCAGAACAATACATTTCAATGTTTTAACCCACCGTTACTGAGATTCAACAATGCAGACTATATATAAACACAATGTTATTTTTAGAACTGCATTATGTGTATCGTTGTAATTAAAAGACTCTCTTAAAATAATTATATTTGTATAATTTATGTTCAAGAACCAAATTTAATTTAAAATATACTAAAAATTTATTACGATAAGATTAGCAAAGGTTCAATAAATTCACTTTAATAATCGTACATATTTTTAACGGAATAAATAGAATTACGTTTTTTAACGTAACTATATTTTATGTAGATGAACTTGCTATTTTACATGCAAGAATATTAAAATGAGAACGAGAGAAAATATTTTATGAGATGTTCTATCTATAATATTCTATCTATAATATTGTATTATCTAGAATTTCCAAGAAAATGTCAAATGTATTTGCCCTTCTGAAAGGTTCAATAATGATATTTCAGTTATTCTATAAAAGGTTTCGAGAAACATTTAGTACTTACATCAAAAACAAGTTTTATCATTAGCTTCTGGAAAAATTAAGTGGATCATCTTGTATAACATCGTTTAGAAATCGTTTTGACTAACAAGCAAGCCTTAGGCTATTTGTTCACTCACCTTTCATAGTGTCATTTCTAGGAGAGCATCCTAAAACAGAATTCACGTGAAATATTAGTGAGTCGTCTCATGAAACACAGGACAAATAAATAAATTTAAATAACACGAGCGTATTAAAATAAAGTCAGTCGACAAAAATAAAAATACACTAGTTGCTTTTTGAGCAAAATTAAGATGAGACTGTAAATATATTTATTAATTCTTTATTATTTTTACCACGATTCGATAGTTTCCTGTATGAACGCTGCACGAAGGAGAAGTTCAAATAAGTATACGTTAAACCGCAGAATACTTTGTATTTCGTGCAAATGCAACAACATGCGACCACGGATTGTGTAATAATACTGTCAGAAATCCCACTGAGACACATTTGAAATACGAGCGAAAACTCTACATTTTGAACATTTATGTAATGAACATTTATGTAATCGATTACAAAAAAAAGATTCAGTGAACAAAGCGATTACTATTCCACTTCATAAAAAGATTGTATAATCTAGATATCAAATTTTTTATGTAGATAAAATATAAAAATATATACAAAATATACAAATATGCACAAATAAATATGCATTATAAGACATTTCTATTTTGATCTTACTTCCTAAACTGCTTTCTAAGAAAATATGCAATTGCGTAAGAATCTGATGTCTTAATTATATAATTTCTTTTAAGAAATATAACTACAGTTCCTATAATTGCATGATGATAAAAATTGGAGCGTTTCATTCACCGAATTGCAATTAAATTTTTTATTTTAATATCATTTTCTTCCGTAAACTACTTTGTTTGTCAACTTCTGCCAGAATATATATACTCACTTAGCATATGTATGTATTGAAATTTTTCGAAACTGTTTGTCAAATTCAAGAATACATTATCATGATAAAAATGTTGAGATATGACAAGTACGCATAGAAGCATCTTTTTCCACGCATTTATCTAACTGCATATGTTTTAATTGAACAAATATACATATATATATATATATATATATACACACACACATATATATAGAGTTATATTTTAATCTGTACGACTGCATAATATTACAGTTTAATTATTACTAACAGTTTAATTATTACCAACACTACATTACTGGTATTATTTGAGATAACAATTTCAGTGTTGTCTGCCTGTCGATGTATGTGCATGAATATCGCCAAATTATCACATACTATCATTTATTGTCAAGCGATATGACAATAGCGCAGATGCTTACTGCAGATAAGAAACTTATATGATAAGTTAATAGGCACATCTTTTTCAATCAAGCAAAGTGTGACATGAATTGCGCGCATTTGCATAAAGAGTTTGTAAGGCAATGAATACCCCGCAACATCGCGAATTGAAGGTAAACGCATGGCTTCCGTGTGCAAAGATGCCTATGATAACGCATTAATGTTCGTTTCACCTTCAAAGTGACAGCGGAATGCAACAATACAATCTTTCTCTATAATATAATTTTCTTCACTATATGTACAGCTTCATCTTACTTTGCCATCTTATTTTGCATACACTTTATTGTTTATTAAAAATTTCTTTTTTTAGATTTTTTTATCAAAAGTAGAATAATAATATTAGATTGACCGTGTGAAAAATTCGTGTCACACCTCGAAAACTTTGTCCCTGAAGA